TTTGTGGGGTCCCTCTTCTGATTAGTCTAATCATCCTTACCCTAAGAAAGCGAAAGATAAGGTCAATAAACATGTTGGAATGGAATGAGTTCGATTGATAGAGCAGGTTTGGTTTGCCTAAGAGATATGATATATCCCAAGTGCAGAAATATATTAAATTTTAATAGAGCATATGCCACTTTCATTTGCATGATTGCATCTTATCTCAGAGATCTGAACTCCTTTTTTTATTCCCCTCCCTCTGTCAACATGTAGTTAAAAATGATCATATCAGCCAGAGGAACCTCATAAAAAAAATCATTCTGGTGGCATGGCACTGGCAAAACAAAACTAATAAAAAGTGAAAACTGAGATTTGCATTTAAATTATGCAACCCGATTTTTCAGGCTCAAATAGGCTTTGGTCGAAATTTCGAGCTTCCATTTTCTTTGCTCGTCTAGGCCTCCAGCTTGAGATGCTCAGGCCCGAAAGAAATTATGTATGAACCAAAATGAACAAAATTGTGAAACAAAACTCTCAGTTTTTTGTTTTTTTTTTTTTTGGTAAGGAAACTCTCAGTTTTTTGTTCATTTTCATATCTGTGAACGAAATTATGTATGAACCAAATTGTGAGATAATCTGAGTTTAAATTCTCGATTTTTCTTTTGCTATATGTTGTGAGATAAAAACCTCTACTTGGATTTTTGTACGTTTGATAAATGAACGTTTCCATATGAACCTCAATAAGTACTTGGACAAGAAAATTAATTTTTTTCTTGATGACTGTAGATTGTAATTATACAATTATGTATTACTAGTTCCAAGAGAATATACAATTATGTATTGCCATACGTATAAAGACATATAATAAGACAAGATCCAAGAGAATATACTATCAAATGACTAATTTACTAAGACGTGACAAATGCAACTTGAGTTCATTATTTGATTTGCACTTTTAAATAAAAATAAAAATATTTTTTTGTTACTTATGAATTCCTAAGTAGGTTTGATATGAAAAAAAATTTCCTGGCCTCATTGCTATTTTAATACCTTTTTAAAACTAGGGAAAAATAAATCACACACAAATACACTTTTTATGTGCAACAAACAAAAGATTTGCATATATTTCGAGGAAGAAAATCTAGATATTTCGATTTTGCTTGTACGGACGAAAGAGCATCTTTTATTTGATTCGAGAGATTTCATTCTTATCTTATTAATCTATATCTTTGCCGATTGAACACAACGTAATATTGCAATTTTATTTTTTGAAAATGAAAAAGAGCTTGAGCTCGAAACTAAAGATAATATTACTTTCTACGAAATAGAGATTATTAATTTCTTTTATGGAAGGGGAGCCGGGAATCACTTATAATTAGATTTTTTTCCCTATATATCGACATACAGAGTATATAAAATCAATTCAATTTGTTTATGGCACATGGAATATTATCTGAGCAATCAAATGTTGCTTTGATCTCACTGTCTAGACTCTTGTGGTAGAAGAAAATTGGGCTTGAATGCATGTGAAGCAGAGATCTAGCAATTTTTTTCTAATTTTGTTGCCTCTTTTTATCTTTTGGCTCATTGCATGAAAGAAGCTTGCGCTGCATTTGGTAACAACGAATAGAATGCGATTGGTATGTGAAATGGAATTAAACGGACCAAGGATGTCAATCTCTTTGGTTCCGTGACGGTTTGCACATAAAGTTGAGAACCCGAGATCATCGGAGGAAAACTTTTAACGTTAATTGACAAAGCACCGATAGATAATCTTGATCTTGCGCGACAAATTGATTGTGCGAAACAACACCATGGAAGAAACCCTTTTTGTTTGGTGTCATATCATTGAATGAAATGAATTAAAGCTTTCGAGTAATATACTTGCACTTGATTAAATTTATAATTCTATTATAACACAATATAGTTGTACCCGAATTATAATAAAGGTTACTTCGTATTTACGTAAAAAAATCATGATTAATAATACTTTAATGATCAAAAAATTTGACAATTATTATTAAATTACTTCAAATGTTTCGGTTATACTTTATCACTACATTATTTTTACAATTACAGAAATAATCAGTAAAATAATAGATAAACGTGGGTATAACAATTAGTCGTTTTGATTACAGACAATGACTATCACGAATGCAAAACCTTGAAAGCAAAAGTGCAGACGAACATCATGTTCCGACCAGCTCATGTGGATCTACCTAAGCAACAAACCAACACGAAGAAAGACAAAGCGCAACTTAAAATATGTGATTAGGTACAAAAAGTACTAAAAAAACGCACGCACGATACTGAGATCAGGTTTTGAACACTGGCGACGACATCAGTCGGTCTTCAGGACATTCAACCGGATGATCGCGCATCGTGGTTCATCATAAGAACGTGTCCATGCATTTAAGGTAACACTACCTTTCAAATGTCTTGAGCAAAGGGGCAAAATTCGAGAAGTTTTGATTGAATTATGATCGACGGAGGAGAAGGAATTGAATTAAATCTTTGACTCGTTTAGATCAAGTAAAAGATTTTACTATTTTATCTCTAGGTCAAGGACAAGGATAATGAGTTAAATTTAACCACATCCGATTAGTAATAATAATAAAGATCAGAAAGAACCAAATTTGCTATAAATCCTCCTTTCATTTAATGCACCTTGATACTAATTTCACAAATTTCTCCTACTCAACTTTTGCAATTCGCCCCCCTCAAATAAGAAAGGCTTCAATCAAACTCAAAGTCCTACGTAAGTTACATATTATTAGCATTGAAATAGGAGATTTTTTTGGTTCTATATTTAGTTATAAGTTGTTAATGTGTTGACATTTAAGCTACGATCCACGTCGTTATCTAACAGCTCAAAGCATCTTTAGAATGACCGACCGTGCATGCTTTATTACAAGCAAGAGTTTCAATGCGCTAGAGATATGAAAAACATTACGAGTAAATTCAATTGAGCCATCCAGCCTATTGTTTCGGAAAAATGACATGTTATAGAAAAAGCAACAGCCCAGTCAACTACAAAGAAACTAGAATTTTGCAAGTTTTTTAGTTGATTTTTTTCTATAAGTATCATTTTATATGATAATCATGCAGAGAATGCCGGAAAAAACAGAACGCCGCAGTCTCTACGACTCTAGTGTCTCTGGAACCATATTATATGATACGTGAATGCTTTCTTTCCTGGCCCAACATCATACATGCAAGGTTCAGTACAAGAAGGCCTTACATTAGTAAGACAAAGCACCAGAAAAAGCAAACATTCTTAGCCTGCAAATTGTGTCACTTCTCTATCTTGACATGTATAATGGGCTTTCAACATATAGAAAGCTCATGGGGCAACATCCAAGTACCTCTGTCAAAGTATAAACAATCAACACCTACATCTACCGTTTACCAAGTTCAATTTTCGAAAGACAAGTTACCCAAGTTACAATGATTTTCATAGAACCGCTGTTGTGTCTTGATTCAAGCATTCTAGACCCCAATGGAAACAATGAAACAGGTGCAGCTAGACATGGCCACGGTTCGGAACCGATGGTTCCGGTTCGTGGCCATGTATGAACCGGAACCGGCGGTTCCGTGCCAGTTCCGGTTCCGGCCCGGTTCGGAACCGGCCGGTAAAAAAAAAAAAACAGTTTTTTTTTTTTTTTTCGTCTGCAGGCCCTGCTGCAGTTTTTTTTTTTTTTTTAACCGGAACCGGGCCCGTAGGCCACGGGCCAATTCCGTTCCGAACCGCGGGCCCGGTCAACGGACCGGTCCCGGGTTTGACCCGAGCCGGTTCCAGGCCGAAACCAGCCCATGGCCATGTCTAGGTGCAGCACACCAGATATCTGACGAGTGACAATAGAGCAGGCACTCAATTTGCCGTCAAACTATGTCATTGTCTGCGTCAACGTGATTCCTGAATACCTCATACAGGACATTTCAATACTCTGCTTTGTTCATAGGCCAGATATGAAAGTTGATGCATAAGTACGATATACCCATCAGTGTCCCACAGATTGCAAAAGAAAATTTCAACCTAGGCACTATGACACTCCTGCCATCTGAAAGTTCCAATTCATTGGCAGCATCAGGTAAGACTACTTTTGAATGGTTTTGCAGGACCTAGAGCTAGTTAACATACACACTTAAAAGAATGTTTACAGATTCTCAAAAGCACAAGGAGCATTAGTAACAACACTTCAGAAGCACATGAGAGCAGCAAAGTCTAGGGAGCTCGTAAGTGGTCAATCCACCTGCGAGGGCGAACAGACACAGATCCAATATATGTAGCTATGCAGGAGTGAATAGGGTACAAACGTAGAGTGTCATGGTTCATATACGGTAACCAGCGCAACCAAGCCTCCCCATAGATATGACCGTGACATGCACTCAAAGACCTGAAAATAAAGTGTTCTGGACCAAAGCTTCTATCAGGAAAGGGCATACCTATATTTTGAAACAGCAGGATCAGCACCAAGCAAAAAGGTAATTGTTTTCACTATCTATTTTAAATAAATATTCGATTCTTGAGATAGCTGAAGCCACAATTAAGCCCACGAGAGAGTATTAATCAAGAGCTAAATACATCTAGACATACTGAAAGAAGAATTTATGCTCCATCTCAACGGCAGCCTAGCACCTCAATAGAAATTTGAGCGTAGTCAATTCTTGTATTAGATGGTCATACTGTTAACACCAAATTTCACGGGATCATACTATTGCATCCAGTAAAGATTCCCAAAGTAACAGCATTCCCACAAGCCATAGGTTATATGGGCAATAAATTGCACAAGCAAACACTTGCAATAACATGTGCTTATCCATGTTCCACAAAACCAATGCCTGATGTCGTGAGTTAGGACCATATAGCATATGAATCATGCATCAGAACTTTTAGTTTAAATAAGGATAAAGTAGTACAGAACAAATGAGTCAACAGCTGGTTCTCCAGATACTAAATCAAACATCAGTGCTTGTGCTCCATCGGAAAATGACTTCGTAGAACCATGAATTCTAGCTGCCTTGAATCTCTAATTTGGATTTCATTCTTAACTAAAGAACAATGAACATGAACGGAATGTACAAGATACTAAAATTTCAAATGGACTGTGGAACAAATAAAAGAAAGAAGAAAGAATAATAACCATTCCCTTTTTTTTCTCACAAAAAGAGAGAGTGGAACTGCCTAAGACATTCATCTACTTATCTACTTATCTCATGAATTTGGTGGGGCGTCATCTCTATGCAAGGCTCAAACATCCTCCAATATGGAAAGATATAGGCTCTGGCACTCATTTACTGGACCTTTTCCTTCTTCCTTATGGTTAGAGGAGCATTCAATTTGGAATGGAGATTTAGACCGTGGCACTCATTTACTGGTGCTTGAACTTGTTCCTTCTTCCTTATGGTTTGGAGCGCATGCAGTTTCAAAGGCAGATATGGACTGGCACTTATTTACTGGTACTTGAACTTGTTCCTTTATTGTCAGAAGCGCACTCACTTTCCAATGTATCTGACTGGAAGCCCCGGGGAGTATCACTTTCCAACGTATACGACTGGAAGCCCCGGGGAGTAGATAACCGACCCGAGCCTATACTGCTGAACGATCTCTCAATGTCAACCATATCTGCCACTAAAGGAATTGGTCGTTCCGGAATAGAAGGAACTGATAACTCTGTTTCCAACATCTTCACAACCTGATCCATCGTTGGCCTAGCATATAGTTGAGGATGAGAACATAGCACCGCAACCAATACATACTGTTCCATAATCTCCGGTGACCCTAACTCCAGCATATTATCTTCGATAACATCTAAAGCTCTACCTTCCCTCACTAAGGACCAAGCCCAATCGGTGATGAGAGAAGGTTGACCATCATTATTACCCGAGAGTGCTTTTTTCCCACTCAGAAGCTCAAGAAGCACAACGCCGAAGCTATAAACGTCACTTCTCTCCGTCAACTGCCCATACAATGCATACTCGGGCGCTACGTACCCCATTGTGCCGGCAACCCTAGTGCTCATATGTGTCACACCCTCTTCTGTAAACTTTGCAAGACCAAAATCAGCCACCTTGGCCTCAAACTTCTCATCCAAAAGTATATTACTTGCCTTAATATCCCTATGTATGATTCCAGGCTGTGCCCCGTAATGCAAATAAGCTAACCCCCTGGCCGTTCCAAGCGCAACCTTCTGCCGAATAGGCCAACTGAGCTTCCTCTCAGCCGACCCAAACAAATGGTCATGCAAACTTCCATTTCTCATCAGATCACACACAATGATCCTCTGGTGACCCTCGTACTGCGTCGTGGCAATACAATACCCTCGAAGAGCGACCAGGTTCACGTGCCTGACGCTGGCGATGACCTCGACTTCATGAGCGAAATTCGCGTCCCCTGCAGCGGAGCAATTCTTGAACCTCTTCAGCGCGACTTCGGTGCCGTCCTGCAACAACCCCCTGTAAACATTTCCATATCCACCTCTCCCTATGATGTAATCCCTAGAGAAGTTCCTAGTAGCCCTCTTGATGTCCTCAAATGAGAACCTGACCACTGTGGTACTCTCCTCGAAATTCTGCAACCCGAACCCTCTATCGACCCCATCGATCCCTCCTCTCCTCCTCTTCAACCTCCCATGCTTCCTCCTGTAAAGCCAAAACCCAATGAGAGCCGCAACCACCCCCAACCCACAACCGATTAGGGCCACCAGTATCACCACCAGCTTCATCCTACTCTTGCCCCCCGAATCCGTAAAATCGAGGTTGAACAAGCACTTGGCGGTACCTTTATCCGTGGGCCCAAGGTAATTCGCGAACGCCGCCGCATAGATCAATGGGTAGGCGGTGCAATCCGAGACGTTCCCGACCGAGGGGCCGTTCAGGTAGGACGCGATGCTTGACAGGCTGACCGTGCAGATGCCGCAGGGGGAGCTGTTCTCGAGCGACTGGTTGCAGCTGGTGGCGACGCTGCTCAGCGTGGAGTTGGGGATGAGGGCTTCGAATTGGGACAGGGTGGTGATGTTCATGCAGCCCTCCGAAATCCAGGACGTCTCGAACCCGCAGGAGCGGCGGATGTCGAAGTTGGGGATGAACGTGTCGATGAGGCCCTGGTACGAGACCCAGCACGAATTGGAGGAGCTGAGCGGGGGGAGGAAGGAGCCGGTGAGCTGGAGGTAACGGGACTGGACGAGGCGGAGGCCCTGGAGGATGTAGCCGCACTCGGTGGAGACGCCGAGGGAGGGGCGGGCGGCCGGGGTGAAGAGGTCGCTGAGGACGGTGAAGTTGAGGGGGCAAGCGGCGCCGGTGGTGTCGTTCTGGGACAGCGACGGGGGGATGCAGAGGGCGGCGAGGAGGACGGCGAGGAGGGCGGCGAGGGCGGCGGGGCCGCGGCGGAGGAGCGACATGGGAAGGGGGGACGAGGCGAGGGGGGGAAGCGGGAAGATGGGCAGAAGCTGAAGAGTGTTTGTTTGTTTGACTGTGGAAGGAGGAGGAGGAGGAGGAGGAAGACGGACGCAAGTTCGGAGAAGGTGGTGGTGGTGGTGGTGGTGGTAGTTGTGGAAAGTGCGGGCGGTTCGGGCTGTTAACAGTCGCCGGCGGCGGCGGCTTCTTCTCCTCCTCCTTCTTTAACTGTTTATCTGTATTTCGAATTTTCTTTCTTCACGTTTCGTGATTCGTTCGGGTGGGAAAAAATTCATTTTTCTGACGTGTAATTGGGGAAAATTTGGGAATTTATCAGATGTTCTTTGTTTTTTTTTTTTTATTCGTTGGTTCTTTTCTAGGTTTTGGTTCGGTGTGGTTTAGGACTTTGGTACAGTTCAGATGCGGCCGATGATGTTTTGTTTTTCTTTTCTTTTTTCTTTTGTACGGGAGTTTTTTTTTTATTCTTTTAATATTCGGGGTCCTCTAATTTATCCAAGTCAATCGGAGATGTGAAATAGTTTAGAAAGGAAAAGGATGAATTCAATGTTCGTGAGATTTTGGAAATCAAAATGTGCAATTGGATTTGTATCGTGCATGGTATAGTCTAGTAGACAAAAAGTGAATCCGCTAACTTGATGACGTGGAGCTTACTTAGCTCGCCAATAAATAATTAGGAATGAGCATGGTTTTAAGTTAGTTTGGTTTGAGTAAAACTGGACCGAATTGAAATAACATGATTTGGAAACTAAAAGGCTAAATGGAACTGTATAAGGATTCGGAATCGAATCGAACTAACAGATTTCAAGCGGTATTAAATTCAACTTCGAGTGGATGACTATTTAATGATCAAATTGCTAGAACTTTAACTTCAATCTCAGAACTAGCCCATGCACAGCTCGAATTAAAAGGCTTTTTCCTCCTCCTCCTTCTTCTTTTTTTTGGAGCAAAGTCGTGTCTTTGAAAGGGATACTTATGCAAATGATCTCTGAACTTTGGCTCAATGTGTAACGTCGTCCCCGAACTTTTAATTTATTCAATTTAGTTCCTGAACTTTTGATACATGTTCATTATAATCCATATACTATATGAAATATCAAATTTTATTTTTTCATTAATTCAAGTTCAATTACAACATTAAACATTTTCATGTAGTCGAAGGATTGAATTGAACATATACCAAAATTTCAAGGAGGATGTAGAACAAACTAAAAATTCGGGGATGGCATTGCACATTAGGCTAAAGTTCAGGGACCATATTGAACAAATTAAAAATTTAGGGACGATGAAGCATTTGTGTCATTTTTCCTTTTCTGAAATTGAACGAACGATTGTCATATCTCTTCTGCCTACACAAAAAGAGCGAGAAGAAAACCCGATCCCATGTGAATGTTCCAATATGGGAAACCCGCAAAATGCCGGCTAAGTGATTAAGTGCCTATTTTAAAATGCGATAAATTTCATATTAGAATCACTTCATCCTCATTAAATCAAATTATCTTAAAAGTCCACAAAAATACTCTATAAACAGGTTCTTATCTAATGTAGGTGGATGGGAATTTTATGTACCAATTTTGAAGATTAGTCCGGCTGAAGTTTTCGATCCTTTGTGTCATTAAATAAAAGGCGGAATAATGTCCAAAAACAATCACAAAAGGACAGTGGAATGGTCAACCAATCGAAGGCGCTTTTGCCAGCCCGACCGTTCGCATAATTTGAATTAATCACACCTTGTCCCACATAAAAAAAGTACCTATCGATCCTATTCATGATAGATGACAAGATTTGACACGTTGGATTCTTGGTCACCACAATATCGTAATTATTAAATGGTATGGAGGGAGTTGCAAGATCTCGAAATTCGTGAGGTCAGCGACCTTGTCTGGAGCAATCGAAGAAGGAATCAAATCTTTCTTCTTCTTTTTGTAACATCGAACGAGGCGTCGGGAACTCTTCGAGCACTCGATAATTCCCTATCAAATATGACGGTCCTCCCGTTCCGTTGGGAGCATGGTTCCAAGAGAATGCTTAAGTGCGGAAATTGGAACCTGGACATCGATCGGCATGAATCAGTGACAGGCTCAAATCGAAACAACTCATATCCCAAATTATCATTCGTTCACTTCGTTTAAATGATCTCGACCTGCCATTTTTTAAGTGAAAGGTGAGATTCAAGATTGTAGCTTCATTATAAAAGCTCACGTTCCACTCAAATATTGTCGAAGTCACCCATTCCAAACCGTCCAATATGATAGATCACGAATATGGACATCTTATATTTTAATTTTAGTTGAGTTCGTATGTGGGTAAAGTCCATACGGCCAGTACAGCATACACGTAGAAGCTATCAAACCCCAATTGAATTTGGCACGCCAAAGCACGATGCATCATTTACTAGCTTAAATTATTAAAAAATTTGGCAATGACCTCACATTATTTTACATGGTATTAGAGTACAAAAATCTTAGTTCAAATCTTTCTAAGCCCCTCATTCGCCTTTCTATAATATAAATTTAGGTTGATATCACCAAAAACTCCAAACCGGTACACTTGTGACAAATTTATCTTAAATTAATTTTTTGACTACCAAAAATCCCAAACTGGTACGCTTAGGACAATTTTACCGTCCGTTAATTTTCATTAATTTTACCGTCAAATTGATGAGTTGGATGACACGTGGCAGTTAACGGGTGTACCAGTTTGGGGTTTTTATCCTCTGTTTGTCACAAGTGTATCAGTTTGTGATTTTTCGTGATATAAATTCAATTTAACGAAAATTAACGGATAGTAAATTTGTCATGGGTATACCAGTTTAGAGTTTTTGATGGTCAAATAATTAGTTTTGGGTAAATTTATCACGGATGTACTAGTTTATAATTTTTTGTAGTATTAACCTTATAAATTTCTTAGGGCAGAGAGAGGGATGAAAGCGAAGAAGCTTAGATAGGTCAATTTTGTCATGCCCAAATTTTGCATCCTTATGGATGCAACTTAGACACGTGATGTTCATGTTAACAAACGTCGTATTCACTTTGTTCAAACACTTCTGCATGCGATTTTGGGTAACTTATTCCAGCAAAAAAATCAATTTTTAAATGTGTTATTGCATCGCGGGTCGGTTGTCACGCCTATTGAAATAACCTTAAAACCAATGCTCGATTAGATGATTGCACGTCGAAATCAGCCTCCTTGCTCCTGTAATTTTGTCCTTATCTCTTTGTGCTTTTCCCTGGCCTATAACAAAAGGAAACGAGTCACCTAATGTGCGCCCACATCTCTATCGCTTGTATTGTATTTGTTCGTATCCTCACCTCGCTTTCTTTAGGATATAGCAAACATGTGATTGGGCTCTCTATATAAAAACATTGTAATGGGGTTCCCATCCACGTTAATTATGTCCACATCAATCACCAGAAGAAGCACGACCATACCAATTTTCACTAGAGACAGCCTTTTATTAGATTATTAACTTTGTCGGACACTTTCCAAAGAGCTAAAGTGAATTTTGCCGCAACTATAACGTCTATGGAAAAGTCCAAATGCCATCCGTGAGAATATCGGGGCGGGGCTTCTTTTCAAGAATAGTTGCATACCTTGGGACTCGAGTCATGGCTACGCTTCTCGAGACACAGTCTGTCACTAATCTGTCCGTCTAAAACCTAGTTGCTCGTCTGTTCCCAGACCTAGATTACTTTATGGATGTGACACTTGGGGCCATGGTGAGCCTCCAGCTTCGTGTGTGTGGTTGACTGTGAAGGGGTTCCGTTGACAAGCTCGTCGTTTCGGGAGTAGCTGTCGACTCAACAGAGCACGTGAAACTTCCACGACAACGTCCAATAGCGGTTGCCGACACTCATCGCCTCTTTCCATCCTTCTTCTACTAACAGGAACTTAACCTAGGGAAGAGGTGGTGTTAGATCTGGTGTGGTGTCTTGTAATGACCAATGAGTCCCAAATTTTGGTGACACCCAATGACAAAGGTTAAGGAAGGAGAAGTTTCTTTCAAGCCCATCAAGTTGGACTAAGAAATGGGAGATTCGACTCCTAGTTTAGCCAGTCCAATGACATTCTTAGACTTGACTTCCATTGTCTCTGATTCATGCTCCTTCCATCAGTCTATTGATGATCCGTTGAAACGATTAATTTGGTTTTAATCCGAATTTTTCATCTTTCGGTTTCAGCTCGAAGAAATGTGATCGAAAGCAATGAGCGATCACACTGACAAGTTAAGAATTTTCTACATGATCGCTGTGATTGGCTGATTGAAATGAATTGATAGCTCACAAGAATCATTCGGGTTTTAGATCGAGAACAATCTTACGGTAAAATTATTTGAGGTTGTAATTATAATTGAGAACAACGTCTAACACGAAATGTTTGAGGTTATAATAGTTGCTTTCTATGTAGAAAAGACATGGTGAATTATAGGGAAAAGTGTCCAAAAAATTCTAAACTTATTGTACGACGATCAATTCAGGATTAAATTTTTTAATTTGGCCAAATAGTCCTAAGCCTTTAGACAATTTGCCAACTTAGTCATTCCGGCTAGTTTTGGTCGAATATCACTAACGTTGACACTTTTTGCAATATTTTTTTAATTTTGTGAAAATTTTTCTTCTTTTTTCATTTTCTTTTCTTTTTCCTTTTTCTTTTATCTCTTTTTCCCTCCACTGGCCATCACCCAGCCATCACCGGGCCTCGTTGATGGCCGGCGAAGGTCGCCGTCCATCGTTGCAGGCCTCGACACCCTTGCGGGCCTCTAGCGAATCATTCATTCTCCGCTAAATAAACAAAATCTCACTTTTAATGCGATATATTCTATATCCAAATCGGCGCATCCTTACTCAATTAAAGCGATTATAAATCTAAGCGAATAATTCTGTAATATGAACCTTATTGAAGATACGTGGATGAAAATTTATATATAAACTCATGAAGATTGGTCGGCTTGAAGTTTTGGATTCATTGTGCTATTAATTAAAAAGCGGATGGGTGGCCAAAACGAACAAAAGTGAATCGGGGAATGGTCAACCAATGAAGGTGCTTTTGCCAGCAGCATCATACATACGCATGATTTGAACTAATCACACCTGTCTCGTATAAAAAGTGCAATCAGATTCTATCTATGATAGGTGACAAAATTGACCACACAATAGGGATCATCTCGAATCTCCCATCTCATAATTGAATTGTGATTATTAAATGATGTGGAGGAGTTGCATGCTCTCGAAAGTCAGGCTCTT